ATGCGTCTTACAACCTATCCTTACAAAAAGAAAACAACAAACTACAGTCACAGATACCATATCAGTGAAAAATTGACTTGTGTAGAACAATATGACAGTCAAGTTAAAGAACCCTTCTTATTTTTGTGTTCATTTTTGAAGAGGATTTCCCTCAGGTTGCCTTGTCTTTCTCGATTAAAGTGCTGATTTGAAGAAAAGCAAAGTAAATGTTACTTACACCGAAAGTGACCACTTGGTTTGCCAAATGGTGCTCAGAAATATAAATACTTTTTACCCACTTACTTGATCATATGAACACTGTTACTTGGCAAAAAGTAAAAAGGACGATTTTGCATCTACGATCAGTTTTATGACTTCGGAGACAGCAAGTACTGCAGTTGTTGAATTTGTTGCAGTGGAACTCTCCGTGGTGCTGAAGTTCCAACACCACTTACTTTCTCAAAATATTTCCTTTGTTTCCCCAGAAATAATATTCAAATACAATAAATTTACAGCATATAATGCACCTGGAGGGTTTAATACAGTTGAGAGCCACTGAGTGTGGGACTGATTCAGACTGGAAGCCTTTGAGTCTGAACGCTTGGCTTCATGTGGAATGTGCTGCAGCTGCGGAGACTTTTAGGTATCCCAATTCAAAGAAATCTAGTGGTGTGAGGTCTGTTGAACGTGCAGGGTATTCAACAAAAACCCTCCATCCAATCCACCTGGCCATGGTAATGTGGAGGTGCCCCATCTTGCTGAATATATGAACATTTTGTTCAATGGTTTCAATGTGCAAAGAAAAAAAACAAACAATTGAGTTATCAGCTGCGAAAAGGTGCATATATCTATCTATCTATCTATCTATCTCTCTCTCTATATATAGAGAGAGATAGATAGATATAGATATATCTATATCTATATATCGATATCTACATATATATATACATACATACATATATACATACATATATGTAGCGCGTTGACCTCACAGTGCAGAAGTACTGGGTTCGATTCCAGCTTCGGCCTCCCTGTGTGGAGTTGGCATGTTCTCCCCATGCCTGTGTGGGTTTCTCCGGTTTCCTGTTCAAAAACATGCAACTCTAGATTGTCCCTAGGTGTGATTGTGAGCGCAGATGGGTGTTCGTCTCTGTGTGCCCTGCGATTGGCTGGCAACCGGATCAGGGTGTCACCCGCCTACTGCTCGAAGACAGCTGGCATAGGCTCCAGCACAGGCTGGCAACCTGTCCAGAGTTTATGCCGCTGCTAACCCAAAGTCAGATGAGATGGCCTCCGAAACACTCACAACCCTAATAAGTTTATTGGTTAAATAAATAAAATTAAAAAAAAAAATGGATGGATGGATTTTCAAGAAGCAAAACACCCTTTTGGGAATATGTGTACATATATAAATTTTGCTCAGTGATTCGGTGTTACAAAGTCTTCTGGTCCATCAACTAAGACAAATACCATCAGATGTTCTGTAAATGTACAGAAATAAACGGCTCATGACAAACATATAAAATATAATGTTTCATTAATTAAGGACTTTTTGACAATTCATACCATTTATGTTTTATATTACACCACTGAATTTCACAAATGCAAACCCAGTCGTTTTGATCCTTTTAAATTTCTTCTTCCACTGTGGGAAGTTTCTCCTCCTGGTTGTTATGTAATGTTTTTACTGAATGAAGCAATGCCCTCGTGTCATGTTCGGCTCAAATCAGGCCCTGCGCTGTTTTTCTGCAGCAACTATAAAAAGTCACTATCACTCAGTTATGTAATATCTTGCAGCAACATCCGTTACTATACTCAGCAGCGCTGTGCTAAAAATACAAACTCACATGTGGAATGATACAACACAATTATAATCAAAAGTTTAGCGATGGAAGAAATGCCAAACTTTGAAGAGGAGCAGTTTGGCAATGACTTGAACAATGAGGGAAAAAAACTTTGGCTGTTTTAAATGTACACTAAAAAGGCAAAAATGCAATGAGAGGATGATAAAAAAAACAAAAACAAAAAAACAACCCATTTCCATATCCAACGTGTGCAAAGGATGAATGCATCACTTTTTGTCTACTGCAAATAGCCAACTAAATTCTTGCGAGAGTGGACGCGTGTCAATAAAGTACAAATTTGTCTCACAAATTCAGTAAGCAAGCAATCTGCCTGAGCTACTCCGGCGGTGAATATACTATACCAGTCTGTCTGAAAACACTCAATGGGTGCAGAGCCTCACACGCTCATTCAATGCAGTGTCTCTGTGGTGTGCCAAGTCACATGCCTATTACATAATAAGGCTCCTACTGCTGGGCTCAACGTCCCTGACAAATCCACACACGCTTTGATGCACATGAGCTATTTATACACTGCAGCTAAGATAGGGTTTGGTCAAAAATATAATTCCACTCAATTATTCATTGAGAAACATTTCCTTGCAGAGCTGGCACAGAGTTCTGTTCGACAGGAATAGACCAAGGGAGTAACAATTAATAATGCATATTAGCAATGCAGGCGTCTGTTTGGTGGCTTCAAATCTGAATGGGAAGGGTGGGGAAAATAAACCTGCATGCATCACCTTTGTATTTATAGCCCAGTGTGCATACACTTCAGCCGTTCTCCTACCATCCTGTTCTTTTACTGGATTCTAAAAATAGCCGACTGCACCGTGCATGTGCCATTTTTAGGTCTTGTGATTTAAGGGGGTGGTGATGAAGGGATGTAGAATGATTAAAAAAACAAAAAACAAAAGATTCACACTTGTGCTACAACATAGAGTCACACTTGTGCCTGTGAATGAATCCCTTTCAAGATCATCCATTCAACTCAAACCGAATTTGCTTACCTTAAGAGGTACAGTAATGCTCAGTTTGAGGGTTACACAGTACTTCACACAGAATGGATGAATTAAAATGAGAAAATCAGTAGGCCTATATAAGTCCATTTCTTGTCATGTATATCGCAAAACATGAAGCATGTCAGGGTAATAAGAATTGTAAATAATAATTGTACCAAAAAAGCCTGGCTCCTTCAAGCAAGGTTGTGTTTATTTTTATTATTATTATTGTTTTTATTTATAAATGTGTGGCTTCAGGCCTGTGTTGTATCCCCTTTTGCAATTTGTGATCAGTTTAAAGCAGAAATGGGCAATTCCAGTCCCAATGGGCAATTCCAGAGCAATGTGGTGTGTTCATCAGTTGTATCAGACACTGTGAGTTGTGTCACAGTTGACAACCTGGCGGATGAGGCCAGATATATTAGTTCAGCAGATTTTATTGAACAGATTCCACAACCAGTTTCTTGGCTTCTCTGGTACTTTTTAATGATTTCATGTCCTCCAGCGCAACTTAAAGTTTATTTGTACACAGTAAATTTTGCATAGTACATTTTCTTCTAATCGAGGAAAATGATACTCTGAAAAAGACTATATTTGATCACTGTCTAAGCAGAGTCAAATTTACACCGTACACTAAATTTTACTCAAAGCAGCAGAATAATTGTACTCCAAATGATTCAAATCAACCTTTAATGATGAGAACATGAATTACTCATCCACATTTTACACTGCGAGTTGGGGGCGGGGTTGCATTATGGACTCTGAGTGATTGTGCATGCACGTTTACGTGTGTGTGTGTGTGTGTGTGTGTGTGTGTGTGTGTGTGTGTGTGTGTGTGTGTGTGTACAAAGACAGACAAGAAGACTCATGGAGATATGTTATTATTTACTTGGCAAACAAGTGCCAAGTTAGTAGCACGTTGGGCGACTGGTTAGCACGTCCACCTCACAGTGCAGAGGTGTACGGCTCAATTGGCTTTCCTGTGTGGAGTTTGCATGTTCTCCCCGTGCCTGCGTGTTTTCTCCGAGTACTCAGGCTTTCTCCCACATTCCAAAACCATGCATGGTAGGTTTAGAATCTCGAGTGATCATTTGATTGTCCTTACGTGTGATTGTGAGCGTGAATGGTTGTTTGTCTATGTGTGCCCTGCAATTGGGTGGCAACTAATTCAGAGTGTAACCCCCTTGCTGCCCGAAGACAGCTGGGATTGAGGAGAAGCTGATTAGAAAATTGATGGATGGAAGTGCCAGGTGAAGGTAAGAGTATACCTATTATGTTTAATGTTCTCTCCTTTATTTCATTTTACTAACATCATGTTTCAACAATTTAAACTAATTTGGATTTATTTAGACCAGTACAAACATGTTTAATGAAAGCAAGTGTGAGTAATTGAATGAAAATGTTAAACTCATGCTGCACCTACGTAGGTATAACTGTCCAAATGAATTAAGGACGGATTGAATCAACATGCTTTGAATTTGGGTACTATGATATAATCGCTCTCATCCAATGAATTATTTTGGGGGGGATGAATCAATAAAGATTATTTTCTTGTTTAAAAAGAGGTAACATGACATTACAATGTGGAACAATATGCCAATATACTTACTTGCCTTTCCGCCCTGGTCTTTCTGCATGGCAAGCACAATTTTCAAGGCGCATCCTTGAAAATGTGCTAAAAGTAGCACCAGAACCTTGGTTTATTTTTGAAGCATCTCGGACACTTAAGTAGATCCTCAGCCGCTTCTAGTGACGTCAAACCATTGGCACGCATCCAATGAAAATCGTTTCCTGTAAGAGCGCCAAGCTATTCGAGACAATTAGCTCGTTAGAAATGAGCATATAAGGTGACCTTGCGATGACAAAGCCAAGTTAGTTTAATACAAGAACACAGGAAGCGACCACTTGTCATTGTAGCGCTAACATTTCAAAATATAACTGGAATCCGACGTGGTTGTGAGTACAAGTAAAATAGAAGTTTGAAAAAAATTTTTTTTTAAGTCTGACAGTGCCACCGCGTGGTCAGTGAAGTTTGCTAAAAAAAAGTCTGACAGTGCCACCACGTGGTCAATTGCACGCTTACAAGGAGGCGGTTTTACATAAGTCCAAGAATTACTTTTACCTTGGTGTTTAAGTGCTTTTGATTTTCCAAAGATATAAATGACTCAAAAATAATGACTTGAAGTCCACACACGGCCTTTAATACTGTACATTTGATACAGATTCCACTTGTGATGGCCAGAAGGATATCCATTTTCTTTTTTGCCTGATGATTACCTTAAAAAAAAGCAAATGCAGCATAATTCAGTTTTTCTACTTTTTCATGAAATCAGCTTGGAGCAAAATCAGTTTTTAGGTCCCATATAAATAGGAATGATGACAAAAGTGCGAAAATTACCATCCATTTCATGAACGGAAACAATGAGGGCAAATATATTTTTGAAAACTGTGACTAGTACTGAGCTGTGAAGCACATTCCACATTCCATCTCAGCAATCGCTTCATGGACATAATATATTATAACCCTTTCAATTAAAACAAACCATTAAAACAAATTTAAAGTACAACACTGTCTCCTGGCCACATGATTCACACACTTTGTTACAGCTGTATTTGTGTAATAGTATAACATGCTTTTCCCTTTTATTTGTAATGCCAACTCTTGCAAGGATGTTAAGCCCTCTTCTTCAACAGCGAGGCAGATAAGTCAGATTGTACTTCCCTTCCATATTTGCAAACATTTAACTGTTAGGAGAACAGAATTGCAAGTAATATTATAAGCTGCGCTTTGTGATGTTTGAGTGATTTAAACGACTGTTGTAGTAGTTTCAATGGGCTGAATAAAAGGGAACAGACTCATTTTTTCCATTATTATTGTTGTTGTTTTTTTTTTTTTTTGCACAAGTTAACTGCGTGCTTTAACAATTAAGTTTGTGTGTTCTTAGTCTACTGTGGGCATGATTCTGGCAACTTCTTTGCTTAAGGATGACGACGTTCCCTCTTGGTGAGCAGGTAACACTGAATGGTTCTCAGTCGGTCTTTGGCAGGGGCGAACTCTGGCTGCAGTTTCAACGTGGACTCATACCAGCGCATTGCTTTTTCAAACTCCTCCTGCCATCAAGAAACAAAAATTCTGTGTTCATACAGATTCCTCCGCTTAATTGATGCAAGTGGGGGAGAAAATAAAGATTGATTTACCATAGCAATGTAGACGTTGGCAAGAGTGAAGTGGTTCACAACAAAGTGTGGAGTAATTTCTACAGCCATGCGAGCTACTGTAAGAGCATCCTCCCATAGACGAGCATTCTGGAAGATGTTGGCCAGGCTGATAAGAGGAACATCCTGGTTAAGCGGGGGGGAGGAACACGTTAGGAGCTGCTTCATTAGGTTTGCTAAAGACAGGTTTTCAGAAGAGTTTTTAAATAAGGACTGGCATCTCTTGGAACCTCACAAATTATTAGATGATGATTCAGTAACTTCTGTTTTGCTTTCAGACTCTCAATTTCCATAGCCCCTTGGAGTAAAAGAAAACTGACGGGTCACGATTTGTCTTAACACCGGAATGGGAAGTGATTGAATACAATGAAAATGAAACGGGTGCCATTCACCCTTGCCTGGCACGAGAATTTGGACAAAATGGGACAAAATGAATGAACAAGACATTGATGAAGTAATGTGAGTTTACCAACATATCTTTGTCATCATTGCAAATGCGAATGGTTTGGCACCTACAGATTCATCTACAGTATTTGTGGATACCCCCCCAACATCCAAGTCAAAAGATCAAACAAACTTTGCACCTTTTCAGTGCAAAGTCTTCATCATTGGATGCTGACATGCTGCTAGGCTACTCTCAAAGAAATGTTGTGGCTTGAATGTTTGTTGGGCGTTCACAAGCATGTATGAAGTTATGCACAGAGGGTTTTCCCCTCACACTATTGTCAGACTGAATTCTCTCATCGAGAAATGGCAATAGTGATTTGTGACCCCTTGTTAAATGCAACCAGTTGGGAACAAGCTTATAATATATTATATAACAAGACAAATAATTTACCAGTACACTCATTAAACTTCTATTTGAAGTTACGTCATTTGGATGTAAGCTGTCACACTTTCAGCTTTCTCAACTCTTTGATGATGCCGTCTAGCGAGGCTTTTTTTATGTCAGGCAAGGCAGACTTATTCATGAGTATCTTTCGGCTTGCCTCTCCCTCCAAGCAAGCTGTGAGGACAAATCCAACGCTCTGTCTCTGCCTGAAGGTGAGCTGTGCGCATTGGAGGTGACACGTCTGCATGTCACACCAACAACAACCCAAAAAAAAGTAACATTGTGTAATACAAAACTAAGCTACTACTGCTATATTTGCCAAGATATTTGCACACTTGGATTATTTCGTAGCTTTGTGACCTTTAAGTGTTTAGAAAATAATAATACCCGATACCGGATTAGCTGAAAATCACGTGATCAGCCCGGTTTCTTATCATGTAATCTGATCAGGACATAAAACAGCCTAATAGAGGAGGAAATATTAGCCCTGTTCACACGGCACACATTTGGTCCGACGCTGCACCGAAATATTTTGTTGCGATGTATTTTACACCGGAGCAAATTTTGTGGAGCGGTCACACGTGTAAAGCCGCTGAGCGTGACAACTCCGGCGCAGCGTCGAAGCAGCTCCACTTGCGGTCACACGTGCAATTTCTGCTCCGGACCAAAACGACAAGAATGCAGAAGTAAAACAGGTTCGGGTCGGGCTTCTCTCTCGCGGACTTTTATTTATTTTTCTTTTAATAAATATTATGGCGGACACTATTCTGTCCTTGTTCAGAATAGATCCACTTGTCGGCAGTCGTGGAATAAA